AGCACACCTCTTGTTAAAGAATCAAATTATTCGTAATTGTTTGTAGAATACAATACATACTTAAAAAGTTCTCAAAATTAAATGCTTCAAAAACTATACGCGATAAACCGAAAATTTTGAAAATTGTTAAATATGGAGTTACAGACTTGGAGTTACATTGCCATTAAGCGGGTTTTTGGGTCCTTTTTTTATCACAAATGCAAAAGAATATTAGACCTCTAATGATAGCTTCATGGTTAGTCCTTTTATTAAAACAAGAAAAAGGATAGGTGTGAAAAAAAAATAAACCTAATGAGTAATAAAATTATAGTAAAATAAGAAAAACACGATTTTCTTACAATAAGAACTAAAAGGAAAATAAAATATTTATTGATTTAAAGATACGTTAAATAAGGATATGAAGTTCCCTAATTTGATGTTATTTAACCTTTTAGACTAGCTTGAAATAGGATTAAAGTAATTGGCACGTAGTCATAGTCGAAATTAGGTCCACTGAAAAGTTAGTTGCAGTTATTTTTTACAGGCATCCCATGAGAAACATACAGCACCCCATTGGTAGAGGGCTTCGGGTGCACGAATTTGTTGTAACATCAGGAGTTGAAGATTTGATCTAGCTGCTAGTCTCTTAAAATTTCCTCCAATAACGTCGTAAGCAGATTTCCCATGTGAACTTGCAACAAAGTTCAAATCTGCCATTTCCTTGAAGGGATTTTCATGATTTCAGACCTTTAGTAAAGTTAATATCATTTATTCATATTGTTTTTGTTTTTTACCACACCTTTCCTCTTTCAAAAATATACAATTTCATAAAATTTCAATGTCCATTTATCATATTGCTCGAGCGTTAGACGATCTAGAGTCCATACGCATTAATATCCCATTACGCCCATTTGGGTACTTAAAGTTGACATTATAGACAATGTTTTTATGTAAAAAATAAATTTTTTTTTAAATGCTATAATCAAAAGGAAAAATGTTTGTTTATTTTTTTTTTTGTTTTTTATACGTGGCATATTAAAATACTTTTTTCCATTAAGTTCCGTTAAAAGCTTTCCAAGATACAGCACTTTAAAGAAAGGTACGTATGACATTTCCTTAAAATTTAAGTTCCGTTTAAATAGGTAACCCTACGTCATATCGGCAAAATATGCTGCACGTACACTTATGTCACCTAGACCTTCAATCTCTTCAACTTTCATCTAAATACTGAGAGGTCGCGCACAGTGGTGGCCGTGTCGACATGAAATGCCTATAAACATAAGCATAAACACAAAAAACGATAGAGACAAAGATAAAGATGGGGAATGTGATAAAGATAAAAAAGGAAATATAACTTGATAATGCGCGATATGTTTTGTTATGGTATGTGATGTGATGTTATGTAATATTATGTTATGTTATGTAGTGCTATGTAGTATTATGCTATGCTAAGTACTAAGTTAAACTCCCCTCCACTTAACCCATCCCAACTAATGTTGTTTTACCTCAACTCACCAACTCAACTCACATCAACTCCCCTTAGCTATAGCGGTTGCATTTCAACCGCTGGGCGAACACTAGCATAAATAAATTACAATAGTATGTTTTACAATTTATTTACCATTTGGTTTTACATAGCTATATGTAAACGTATTTAGAATGCTGTACTTATATTAATATTTTGTCCATGTTAGGAGCTATTAGATTTAGTGTCTGTAAGCAGACTTTGTATGCATTTGGTATGAAATGTTGAATTACTAGATGAACTCTGAAATGACGTTAATTACCTTGATCATCAAGTAATTACCACAAGGGCACTTCAATAAACAGCGTCATGCACATTTTGTGTAATTCTAGGTATACATACATATGTATATGTAAATACTTTTGCTAACAAATGCACACGGCAATGTTCGTCTAATCAAATTTCAAATTTTAATTGTTAGTACATGTAATAGCATTAGTGCGTAGTATTTGACCCAAAATAATTAATACTTAGATTATATTTTAATTAAAAAACATAAATTGATTACTGTTAAATTGGTCAAAATTCAATTAGCGTCAAAAGCAGTTAGATAAGCTAGAGCAGGATTTAATTATAATTAACATGTACTTACTCAAGTAAATATAAATTGTTTCAGCTATTAGAAAGTCTTAATTTAGGGGCCTTGCCATAAGCAGCTTGTTGTGATTTCGATTGAAACCCTTATGAGCTTTTATAGCTACATATGTACATTTGTAAGTATGTATTTCAGATTTCTTCTTAACTTGTGGATTCGTTAGTCAAACGCTACTTGCGATAAGAAAAGTAATTATTGAATTACATGCATTAAGTGAAAATAGGTTTCAAAATTAATTTTGTTATAAAATACATAAAGTAAAACAATTGAGTGATTCACAACGGTGTCGTAAGTGTCGTATTGTTGTATGTCGTAAGCTTTAAAAGCTTAAATAAATGTTTAGAGAACTTGAAACGACGACCAATTATTTTTTTACCTTGCGAAAATTTATAATATGACTTTGACGGAACTTTGCGAACCCCCTTAATATATTTTTTAGGCGTTTAAAGTTTACGACATACAACAATACGACACTTGCGACACCGTTGTGAATACCCCAAATGTAAATTCATAGAGCGGCACACAATTTATTCAATATAATGCATACAGTGGAAGTGTAAAACAACCTAGCGAACAATTAGGTTTGATTTGCATTTGAGAATGATTTGAAATCTAGGTAATTACTCAAATGGCAAATGATTTGATGTTGATTATGGCTTTCTCAATAAAAAAGAGGAGTTTGATCTCCATTTGAGAATATAGTTAATTCTCAAATCAATTTCAAAGGTTATTTATCAAATGTACTTCAAGTGAGGAAATAAAAAATATTATATGGAAGGTATATTTTGAGTGCCAATAAATTTGTTTTGAAGGGCTGCAGCAAGGAATTCTGGCTGGCTATCGTCACCCCATGTAAACATCATATTCATTTCAACTTTATTCTTACAATTTTTGATTTAACTGTGCACTTTTATTTCTCGTTTGACAATTCACCATTTTAGAGATGGACAATTCTTAGCCAAATGTATCGACCATATTTCTTCAAATCAATCTCAAATGTACAATGCAAACCTCGTTTTCAATTTCAGAATAATTTAAGAAAAACATTTGATATCAAACTGAGAAATGATTTTTTCTAAAACGTTTGAAACTGTGTTTGCTGGAGAGTTAAATCCGGATCTATGTATAATAAATACCATTGGATACATAAATAACAGAGTTCGAAGACTTTTGTCTTATTGTTTGTTTAATTTAAGCACATCGTTTCTTGTAAAGCAGAATTGCTAAAGCACGTAAAGATTTTGAGATATCCTAACCTCAAATATTGCTAAAACCGATAGGGGTATTCTCTGAGTCTTACAAAGCCCTTGCACGGTGCACAGATTGCACGGCAAAAACCTGTTTTCGTAGGGGACAGCTTTGCAAACCGTGCAATCCGTGCACCGTGCAAGGGCTTTGCAAGAATCAGAGAAAACCCCTGAAGTGTTTCTCTCAGGTTGTAAAATTTTGTTGAACTGTGTAGTTTAAGTTTAGAAAATGAGCTTCATTTATTATGAAAATGTACAGAGAAATATCTTAAATTTAAGAAAATTTAAGATTCTACCATATTTTTGCCTACAAATTTTTCTATTATTAATTCCAATCTGCACTGCATTCTAAAAGTGAGTGTTTTCACAGTTGTTTCTTTATTTATGACACCTTAGCATCTTTGAAATCCCTGAAAGACACTTTTTTTAAATGAAAGAAATGGAGAGCAGTATATATTTCACTGAAAAGTGGCGCAATTAGTTGTTATTAATACCGCGACATATTAAAAAAAAAGTAAGTGCACCTGGGCCAACACTGGAGAAGTGAAACTTACGTTACATATCTATTTTGTCTCATACATACATATGTAGATATGTAGATACATAGTACATACATCTGCTTTTGCTTAAGCAATAAACGTGAATTTTGTATCTTGTACAAAAACCCAATTTGTTAATACCATTGGAGATTAGGGCATTCGTGAGAAGTAAGTAAAAGATTATCTTAAAGAATCGGCTCCCCCATTGATCCCCGCTGCCGGAATCACGAGGATTTCCGGCGCCTAAATTGCCCCGCTCGAATAGGCTCTATCACCTTTTATTTTATTGCGGTAGGTACTCAAACTTCGCACAAAATCAGGTTTTGCCGTTCTATAAATTCCTATAAGTGACCATTCAGTCAAGGTGCAGAGATGTTACATTCAGGGATATTAGTCGAGACTTCTAGTTTTAATATAAGCCTAATATCGCCTTTTGTTTATTTGCCAAAGCTTCTAAAATATTGCAAAAAACGCCATTTTTTGACACTTTGACCTCGGTATTCTCAAAATATTGAGCTGACGGAAACTTTGTACTCACGGATTCGTAATCAGCACGGAAAAGACAATCAAAATCAACTTTAACGTTTGAAGCAACAAAATGTTTTCCCATTTTTGTTCCCTTGTGTAATAAATTTCAAAACAAGGTGCCAAGTAGAAGCAGTTATTAATTTTTTACAGTTATATGGTAATAGTCTTCATCTTTTTCTCTTCGGTATTTAGTTTCCAAGCTTTCAATGTATCTACCGTATTTTTTTATATCTACTAGGCGAAGAACATTGTTAAAAAGTAATTGTTCTTTAAAAGGATATATTAAAAAAACTAAAAACAATCTTTTCTTAATTTTACATATGTATACTAAAATATGTATGAAGTGAAGCATTTGACAAAGTTATGGCTATGGCGTTGTGGACCTATGGTAACTGGACCTTTGCCTAAATTTTTACTCTTGTCGTTTTTATTATTAAATTCAGTTATGTACCTAGTTTTGTGCTTATAATCAAATAAATACATAAAAATAAATCAAATAAATAACAGAGCTTTAAATAAGAACAAAGCCTTCTCTTATAAAGTTCCGTTAAAAACATCCTAAAAATTCCCATTTTTCTGTATTTCAGGGATGGTTTGTCGCACTCAGCGCTTAAGGAGTCAGACACAAAGAGACTGGAAATCCTTCGTAATATCACCGATCTACTAGGGCGTACATTTTCATCGCAATTCGTGTTTCCAGTGCTAGGCCATGAAGATGGCACAAATAACTTTCGACATATGGGCGAACTTTGGCGGCATTGGCTGCCATCGGAGGCATTGCATACGTTCGAAAAAGGTGAGTACTAAGTTTATATATAAACTGGCCAAAGCTCGCTTGCGACGGATAAGAACTTGGGCTAATGTAAAAATAGCGGTTTGTAAAAAATTCTTAGTTTAGGTTGAGCATTGCCGATGGTTCTATTTCCACCTATTCTTCTTATTCTATATCCTTGTATTCTTCTATGATCTTGCAGTTTCGATTTTGGTCTCATTGGTCAATCTCTAATCTTATGTCATGTAAGCCAATACAAGTTCCTTATAAAGAAACTTTTACAGGAGTGCTAAGAATCCTCGCAGGTCTATAGGACATTGGCTAAACGAGTCGTGTGATCTCTTGAATCTATTTTAAATGAAGCCATTGATATATCTACCATGTTCTCAATTTGCCACTCTTACAATCCGCGCCTGACTGCCACAGGAGAAAAGACTCCTTTGTTCTATCTAGGGTTTTGATCAAGATTTCGTTATGCCTCCTAATGGCAAATACTCCTTCTCGATAAACCCGTGACGTGGTGATGTGCCCAGAAAAACTGAATGACCAGAGATTACTTATTAAAATATATTTGTGCTTAACATTAATATAAAAGACAAAAATAGGAACAACTTGCAAAATCTGTAGAAAATCACAAGAGAAGCATAAAGAAAAACATAAGAATAATATATTGATTAAACTATAACTGAGTAGATAGCGAGCCTCAGACGAAAAATGTATAACTTTGGATATAACATAGCATTTTAACGAAAATAAAAATACAAAACACGCTTGAAGTTGCTTACATTCAAACTATTACGAACATGAGATGGAATCGAGTACGAATAGCATTGACAAAAATAGGCTTGCAGATGGTAAGTAATTGTAGTCGGGTGTAATCAATTCCGTAGGGTGCGCAGACTTCGGGAAATATAATTTTTCAAACAGCTAGCTAGGTTTCTTATCCACGATAAAGCGAAATAGAAAAATACAATTTATAGCTTTCAGGTATTCAGAAATACCGCACCCCAAGAGCACTGATTTCCATTCAGATATATGGTCGTATTTCGCTAAGCGAAAAATATACCGCGTAACGTAATTGAGCACCACATCAATATAATGATAATAAACATCGTCTTAAAAAACATTTAATGTAAATTATTATTAACATTTATCTTTCTAGCTCCACAGCTCAAAAACTCTTTGTCGGATGGCATTTGCTCACAGATTTTTTTTTTGCAGAAAATTTCATGCCCTAATTTCCCAAAAAAAATTAATACCGAAAAATCGAATTGAAACCGAAAAATATGTCCCGTGCTATTTATATGGGAAATCAAATGTTTGAAAGAGCTATGCCTGTGATGCACTTGAAATTCTTTTTTAAACGGCATAATTTTTTTTATTTTCTATGAAGTATCAGATGCACAGGTATCAAAGAGAAAAAATTTATATCGCTTAAAAGTGAAACAACCTAATATATATACATCCATGTGCATACGTAAATGTAAGTTTATTACAGTAGATCATACTTGCGGTAACTATGTAAGTGACCTGCTACCTATTCTAAGTGTTTGTCCAATCTATTCTAATTCATTTCACCCAGATCTTATCCAAGCTTATCCAGTTCTTATAAACATGGTGCACCCTTATTGATTCCATCTATTAAGGCTTGTTTCGAGACGCTGTCAAATAAATCAAGAAAGACTCCCATAGCTTTTTTGTCATCCCACTAAATCCATCTAACGATGCTGTGCAGGGTAGTATTGACCAGAGTGTCCAGATTTAAAAAAAAATATAGAATTATAGATTTTATAAAAATATAGAAAACTGAGTTTTCCACGATAATTTTGCGTGATAAAATTGACTTAAGAAGCATATTAAAAGACTGTCAAAAATGTTTAATCGCCCTAATCGAAGAACTTTTGAAACGATTACCTAGTCAATTAAATACTTTTAAAAAAGCTTTGATTCTGTCACCATAAAAGAGGGCGAGTTTCAGGGACCTACCAAATTACTATTTGACATTGAAGGAAAGAAAAGCAGCGGAAACTGAATATTTAAATCTTTTAACTTTCCCATGGAGTAACTCTTCTCAGGACCATTCCATCTGACTCTGAAGAATTTTGGATAATTGCTTACGGAGTGAAAGCCGCCGCCGTAGATAAAGTAAATGTTGAAGTATGGCTGTCAAAAGAAAGTGGTTAAAGAAAGCCGACTACCATACCTAAACAAAAGCGTTGAGGGTTTTCTGACGCCTAGCGTTAACGCCGAAGTGCAATACCTAAACAAAACCGGCAACACTACTTCAAATGAAGAAATAACACCAACAATAAGGATATGTTTGTTTGTGTGAACTACGAAAATGACAGTTTCGCGGTTTTTTGCAGCCAACTTCACTTCCTAACGCCCTGTCAAAATCGGATTTTCTAACCGCTAAGCGTTGATGCCGCGTTATTTCGGTATGCTTCGTACAAATTGTATGGGCATGAGAATTTTTCGATAGTCAGATGGCAGTTACAGGCGAAAATATTTTTTGGAAGGTTGCTACCTGTTTGAAAATTTTAATTTAATTTAATTATTAAATACTAGCAAATACCCGGCGTGTTTCGCTACGCCTTTAAAGTATTTTAGTTTTGTTACTCCCTCTCAACTATGAAATATATATATAAATATAAAATATTAGTTTATAATGCAGTACATATTTGTATAGTAGGCAAATTTTTCAAATTAGATAAATATACGGTATTTGAATACTGAATTAATATACGTTTGAGAAAAGGATGCGATAGTAGACTCCAGTTATAAGATTATAAATTAAATTTCCAAGAGAAAGTCGGTTCTTTACATATTTTCTAATTACTTTCGAAAACATATGTATTAACTAACACCCATACTCAAAAAAAAAAAATAAAAAAGGAACAGTCCAGCGCCTTCGTCTTGGTCTGCAGGCTGTATCGGAGATACACCCGCTAAATTTAAACGTAGAATACGTGGTATGGTTAAGAGCATATCCAAGTCAAAAACGAAAGCACAAACTAAGAAAAAAATATCGATAACAAAAGCGATAATAAAATCGATAACAAAATCGATAAAAATATCGATAACAAAATCGTTAACTAAATCGATTAAAAATCGATTACAAAATCTATCGAAAAATCGATTACAAAATCGGTAACAAAATCGATTCCAAAGTCAATAACAAAATTGATAACAAAATCTATCAAAAACTCCATTACAAAATCGGTAATAAATTCGATAAAAAAATCGATAAAACTATTGATAACAAAAGCGATGGCAATATCGATAGCAAAATCGGTAAAAAAACCGATAAAAATACCGACAACAAAAGCGATAACAATATCTATAGAAAAATCGATAAAAATATTGATGACAAAAGCGACAAAAATATCGATAACAAAAGCGATAACAATATCGATAGAAAAATTGTTAAAACAATCAAGAAAAATATCGATAACTAAACCGATAAATAATCAATAATAAAATCAATAACAGAATCGATTACAAAATCGATAACAAAATCGATAAAAATATCGATCATTATATCGATAAGTTCCGAAAATATCGATAGCAAAATCAATAACAACATCGATACAAATTTCGATAACAAAATCGGTGAAAATATCGGTAACAAAACCAATAAAAATATCGATGGCAAAATCGATTAAAATATCGGCAACAAAATCTATAAAAATATCGATAACAAAATCGATAACAAAATCGATAAAAATATCGATAACAAAACCAAACAGATCCACATTAACTGAAACTTTCATATGTACGTATATATGCATTTACATATCGTCGTCTCAGAAAACGGATGTCGAATGTTACAAAACACGGTTTTGAGAAAATTGACTTTGAAGTTTATGGTCGAATTAATCCGAAACTGTACGGTAGATTTTTGTAACTTTAGAAGGAGACGTAGCTGGTGTTATTAGTTTTGATTTCCCATATTTTTACATTTAATATCTCTTAACGTTAATGAGAAAATTTACTTTTCATTCCGTATACATTTGTCGTAAGTAGCGTTTACTCACCACTTTGTTTTGTCCACAGAACATACGACAATAGTAAAGTATCTATTTCAACGACGATGGTATAATTTGATGAAAAAAACAGACATATTTATTAAATAATGATTACTTATTAGAAAAAACGTAATCATGTATTTAATAAAAAAAATCTGTACATCTCTTATGCTGTAAATATGTTACGAACATACGTTTTCTTTATATAAAAACAAAAAACAATACTTAAATTCAGTCTTTTGTACATTTTTATCTCTTTCATTTCATTGGAGACTCAGTGCAAGCTAAAATTTAAAAATTTAAAATTTTAAAATTAGTTACTTAGTTAATTTTCAATTTTAATTGTATCGTTATAGTAGAGGACCATCCAATTGTCGTAAGTTCAAAGTTTTGCGATACATACGACAAATGTTTTATGATTAAAAAAAGATTACATTTGTATGGGAATTTGTCGTATGTGCCACATACGACAAACGTTTTATGATTAAAAAAAAGGTACGTTTGTATGGGAATTTGTCGTATGTGACGCATTTTCAGCACATACAACAAAAGGCATACCCAATCATTAATAACGGGTGATTTTTTAAGAGCTTGATAACTTTTTTTTTAAAAAAAATGCATAAAATTTGCAAAATCTCATCGGTTCTTTATTTGAAACGTTAGATTGGTCCATGACATTTACTTTTTGAAGATAATTTCATTTAAATGTTGACCGCGGCTGCGTCTTAGGTGGTCCATTCGGAAAGTCCAATTTTGGGCAACTTTTTCGAGCATTTCGGCCGGAATAGCCCGAATTTCTTCGGAAATGTTGTCTTCCAAAGCTGGAATAGTTGCTGGCTTATTTCTGTAGACTTTAGACTTGACGTAGCCCCACAAAAAATAGTCTAAAGGCGTCAAATCGCATGATCTTGGTGGCCAACTTACCGGTCCATTTCTTGAGATGAATTGTTCTCCGAAGTTTTCCCTCAAAATGGCCATAGAATCGCGAGCTGTGTGGCATGTAGCGCCATCTTGTTGAAACCACATGTCAACCAAGTTCAGTTCTTCCATTTTTGGCAACAAAAAGTTTGTTAGCATCGAACGATAGCGATCGCCATTCACCGTAACGTTGCGTCCAACAGCATCTTTGAAAAAATACGGTCCAATGATTCCACCAGCGTACAAACCACACCAAACAGTGCATTTTTCGGGATGCATGGGCAGTTCTTGAACGGCTTCTGGTTGCTCTTCACTCCAAATGCGGCAATTTTGCTTATTTACGAAGCCATTCAACCAGAAATGAGCCTCATCGCTGAACAAAATTTGTCGATAAAAAAGCGGATTTTCTGCCAACTTTTCTAGGGCCCATTCACTGAAAATTCGACGTTGTGGCAGATCGTTCGGCTTCAGTTCTTGCACGAGCTGTATTTTATACGGTTTTACACCAAGATCTTTGCGTAAAATCTTCCATGTGGTCGAATAACACAAACCCAATTGCTGCGAACGGCGACGAATCGACATTTCACGGTCTTCAGCAACACTCTCAGAAACAGACGCAATATTCTCTTCTGTACGCACTGTACGCATTCGTGTGGTTGGTTTAATGTCCAATAAAGTAAACTGAGTGCGAAACTTGGTCACAATCGCATTAATTGTTTGCTCACTTGGTCGATTATGTAGACCATAAATCGGACGTAAAGCGCGAAACACATTTCGAACCGAACACTGATTTTGGTAATAAAATTCAATGATTTGCAAGCGTTGCTCGTTAGTAAGTCTATTCATGATGAAATTTCAAAGCATACTGAGCATCTTTCTCTTTGACACCATGTCTGAAATCCCACGTGATCTGTCAAATACTAATGCATGAAAATCCTAACCTCAAAAAAATCACCCGTTATTATGTAACATACGACAAAATGCGCACGAAATATCTCAAAAGCTAATGGAGATATAAAAAAAATGGATTGCAGAAATCGAAAGAGCATGTCCAACTTAGTAAATCTGCATCAAAATCCCAAAATCGTGATTTTGCACATTCGTCATCCGTTTTCTGAGGCGACGATATGTACATACGCTGCGATCAAAAGCCGCATTACATACGCATACATACTTTTTGTCTCCTTCCCACACTTCCAACACATGCACGTGTTTGCAAAATGATGACGAGTGATTTTGTATGGAAAATCATTTATGCCCATATATTTGAATAAAATAAACATATATAGAAGATATCAACCAATACTTCCCATATACCAAACGAAAGGAAAACTCGTGAATTTTTTATTAAAGAAAACAAAAACAAAATCATTCCAGCGGTTTTCGAGCATTTTGGTAATGAAAAAAATTTGCAAATTTTTTCAACAATTTTTTGCCTTAAAATGCTCAATATTTGTTAAATTTATATAAAATTTGTACCCGATAATATTTCTACTGCTCCAAAGAACCTATATTCCGAAAATGAAAGTTATATATACCAACAATAAGTTGCTAGAGCACTTTAAAGGCTCAAAATTGACCCCAAAATAAGGCAATGTTTACCGTTGTTTTTACGACAGAAACCGAATTGGTTATTTACAAAAATGAATCTGTCGACAGGTTTGGAATATTATCTTTGAAACGCCACACTTTTCTTTGAAATCGCTTTATTAGTTCTCGTGCAATAAGCGTTTTTGTGAAGCTCTAAAAATTACAACTACAACATTTGAACATAGCCCCCATACCTTAAGGTAAGACGTATTCTACGTCAAAAAATAAACAATGCTTCATAGATTGAAATTTGTTTTTTTAAGTCTTACTTCATAAAGCTCTTTAAATATATTTAAAAAAAAATGAGGCCAAAAGAGTTTTGGTAGAGACTTACAACACAAAAATAAATTTAAGGCGCAGCGAAGCACGCCGCACAGTGTATCATTTCCATATTCTAGAGAAGATTAATTCCATTATTTTGTGTCGCCAAATTTGAAAACAACGTCAATAATGTTTTTAGAAATACCTGATAAATACGAAACAATGACAACTAAACAATTTTAATCAAAGTGTATGGCGTGACGGGGTTTGATTTGGAAAATTACCGAGCACAATAATATTTAAACTTTTATATTTGAAACCGAATCTCAATGTTTATTTTGTCGTTGTTATGTGATTTATGCAACAATTACTAAAATACCATTTTGGTCTTATTTGCTTGGGTATGTTCTTTTTAATGAATATACATTTTTGGGATTTTAGTAAACTAGGACTGAGTATTCCATGTTAAAGTAAAACGATGTTAACTTAAATTTATTTTTAGCAATTTATTAATTTCATTAGACCCGCAAACTCATTATTTCAGTTATATAATTCGCCTATCTTATAACGTACCTTGGGCGAAATTTCATTGATCTATCTTCAATAGATTTCGAATTACAGAATTAAAAGCAGCTAGATGGGTAAAATCTTACACTGTGCGCCGGGTAATTGCTAGTATATGTATGTATATGGGGCGCTCCATACAAAAAGTACGGGGTTCACAATTCATGTGTTTGCTTTGTTTCTAATTTTTAGGGTTGATGCATAAACATAAATAATAAATAAATATTAAATTTGAGCTTGATTAATACATTCTTAAAAACGTAACAGAACAAACACAAAAACAAATCGATTTAATTGTTTTCCAAATATCTCGAGAACGGAGCGAGGAAAAAATTTAAAAAAAATCACACGTACGCACATCAAAATTCTCTATGAAAAGAAATATTTAAAAAAAATATGTGCTTGAAAAATTTTCCACATACACATTTTTTGATAAAAAAATAGTTTTTGAAAATATGCCATCTCAAAAACAAAAAAATAAAAAAAAATCACAATTGTAGCTCTGAGTATTGCGCAATTTTTAAGTATAGTATTATGGGTTGCACTCTAAAGTAATTTGAGTTATGAATTTTTTTACACCAAAGTTGGGTAAAGTGAGTACATTACAAATTTAAAAATTTTTCAAATTTTTTTTTAGATTATATTTTCATTCCATCGTAATATACATAATTCAAATGCCAAGTTCCTTTTAAAACAAACGTAAATCTGTTGTATATCGTTACAACTGAATTTCTAACAGATTTCGCTAAAAATTTTATATTTTTTTAACCATTTATATGCGCGTGATTTTTTTTTTTTTATTTCTTAAATTTAAATGGCTTTTGAACCAAAAATATCTATTTTCTATACTCATATCCTTTGGTTCATCGATATAAAAGATAATGAAAATAACATTTATGATATTGTGAATAAAATATAAGAATGGGACATTTTCTCCTCCTAAGCTGTTTGGCGGCTCAAAGAACTTCAAAACACAAGCAGCTGTCGTCTTGCAATCAGGGCGCATATCGCTTCAGTAAATATTGATTTTCATGCTGTTACCTTTTAGGCCACCTGAATTAATAATGAAGAACGGATGTACAAAAATGGTGAGAAAATCTTTGCAAAAAATTTATTTATTGTCATTTTCGACAAGCCTTGAAGCCTTGAAAGTCTATGCCAGTTAGCGCAATCATATCGATTTACTTCAAGGATGAATGGGTACACGACAACAGCCAGACAGACAGACAGGCCTGGCGTATACGTGATTATTGCTAAGTGGGAAGTTATTGTAGTAGGCAAGTGAATAACGGTGTTTTTGCAATAACAAAAAACCGACAAAAAAAAAACAAAAATTACACAAAGATATCCTTGAAAAATATTTGATGCTTTTAGTTTGATGTCGTTGTGTGCTTTTTTGGTTGCTTGCTGGTTACCATTGTTTTGCAATCAGTGCAAGCTGAGAGAAATAAATGAAATTCAAAAATAGACACATTGAATGATTGTAACTTGTTTGTCACAACTCGACTAATATTCTTCATTCATTTCTGGTGTCATTATGCGCCTGTCTGATTATATCCCAAATGGGTATATGTGCATTTTGCTGGTAAAGAAGATATTAAATAAACAAACTGATAAGACGAGAAGAAAGAGAACAAAATAATTTTTGAGATTTATTTTCTAACTGAAATATCTATTTCGATTCTAAGATATTAAGAAATGATCAGAATTTCCTTTTTAATACTCTATCCTTCTTTTCACATGGCATTCCTATTCTTCACTTATTTATGTACTTTATTTATTTAGGTGGCTACTACTCCATTGAACAAACAAAAAGTCGCCTTCGTATAATTGCTCTGAATACAAATTTCATGCGTCACGATCACAAATCCCAGCCTAGCCATTTGGCAGCTGTGCGACAGCGCACTCCGAATGGTGCAGGTGGCAATGGCGATTCAGAGTATAAGACGTATTACTACCATCATGGTTCGATACATCAACATCACGGACATTCTTCCAGTGACTGGATGTCGCATGGTGGTGGCTATGGTGGCTATGGCGGTGGACATCATCGCGGCATGAACGCGATTCCGGCGTTAAGCGTAGGCGATGGGGGTGGGCGAGTGAGTGCTTTATCTGAATACGAGACCCAGGATGCTGAGAAGCAATGGGTGTGGCTGGAAGAGGTGCTCATCAAGTCGAAAGATAATAAAGAGACTGTAAGTTTACACTTTTTGGCTTTTAAACTGTAATATGTACAAGCATAAATTTATGCACTTACATGTATATATATATATATATGTATATGTAGATCTATTGATAGGCACATATTAATTACGTAATTACAACATTATGAAATTCTCAACAAATGTGGGAAATTAAATTCTCTACATATTTGTATTTAACCATTTTTTACGAAAAATGCAGAATAAGCTTGCAAATAGCAAAAAAAAACCAAAAACAAACTTAAATCCAAGATGGCGGAATGTTGCCAAATGAAATTTAGGGGCAAGACCGTGGATTCATGATCTACGCGTCAAATAGAAGTAAACTGCATCAAAAGATTGCTGTTAAAATTTTTTTTAAGAAAAAGTCTAAGTCTGGCAGCCTGGTGTTTGCCAGCAATACAATTTAAAAACTCAAAACTCAAACTCACACACACATTCTCATTTTCAATCTCAAACAACAACAATAGTGTACAATTTAATTTTTATACCCGAGCGCACTTTTTTATTTATTTCGTGAAGTCAATGAAACAAGGTTCTTACTGACTACTGAAAGCGATTAACTTACATTTTTGTCGAGTGTTGTTAGTTATCTCGAAAATAACTTTCAGTTTAATAACAATAAATTCCAATATAACTTACAACTCCTTTTTTCTTAATTTACTGACTCTGTAAAAGAGTTTTGCGTACAAGTCACAGAGTTAGATACTCTTTTTAGCGAATTCTTAGTCTTTCACAGTTTTTGCGTAGTTGAAAAATTATTTAAGCCATGAGGAACTATAGATGAACTCCTTAAATATTAGTACTTTTTTACAGTATGAGAGGATCTTAAGAATAAAGTTTGTTTCCTGGCGCAAAGAGAGAAACCGAGTTCTAATTAAAATTTTTGAAAGTGAACATCAAATTAAAAGTTATTTTGAAATGAAATGTATAGAATTCTTTGACTATTTAAACACTGAAAATGGGAATGATCCCATTATTGCTATTCAAAAATTTCATAAATATAAAATAATTTATTGGCTCCTGTGTACGATGATATGTACACTCATGTTAAAATGAATAACATTTTTATATTTTATGAACTAATAGTGAACCCGTATGGCGTTTTTGTTTAAAATATTTTTTTTATAAAAAAAGGTATTTTTTCCTTTTAAATGATTTTTCTCAGGTTTATACATACGAAGTATGCAAATTGCATATCAGAAGAAAGCGGGTTTAATCACGTTTACGACGATATAAATATTTTAAAAAGCAGTTTAAACTTGTTTGAAATATAAGGTTTTTAATTTTTCGAACCTTTAACCCCTTTATAGCACCTGTAACATAGAAAAAGTTATATATCGTTGAAATAAGTGAAAAAGGCGTACCACGACTATGTTTTTACTTTTTTTAGTAGTTTACATACAGTAATTAAAATTAATTTTTTACCAAAGGTCAAATTTCGAACTTCGAAGGCCCATATCTCGATTTCGGAGGTTAACTTCGAAAAACGGAGAAATTACTGTTATACCTATGACTCAATCTCTTAAAAAAAGTTGGTTTGGTCCAATACCCAGAAAAAAAAGTTGAAAATATTTTGCAGAGGGTTGCCACCTTGTTACAATGTTAGATTCAATATAAGCAACAACATAACAACATATATCGTAATTGCTTTGAAGAAACTTTATTTCCAAGCTGCATATAGGAGTGTTGCCACCTGATTTGATATTTATATTCATATTGAATTAAGAGTACTAGATAATTTAAATATTTATACACAGCACAAGTGGCAGACGAAAAGGTTTGACGAGGTTTTGGTTAAAAATAATTTGAGCAGGATTTCCATCTGTTTGAAAAGTCGAATTGTATTAAATTATATAAAATATTGGAATATTGGTGTCAAACAAAGGAGTTTTAAGAAAAATATCGTCTCAGAATCTATAACATTAAAGAGGGTTTCCACCTGTGTAAAAGGTTAAATACAAATTATTTACTAATTCAAATAAATTATTAAAATATGGGTATAAATTGATATTCGTTAGAAATATTTTCTTCTTAATTTTATTTAAGAGGGTTGCCATATGATTTAGAAACTAAATTCAACTTGAATTAAGGGAATCACATATACAATTTAAATATGTGTGTCAGTCGAAAAAAGTTTAACAAAGTTTTGGTTTTAAAATATTTTGAATAGGGTTGACACCTGTTTCAAAATAAGAATTTAATTATAGTATGCATAAGTTAAATGAAATATTAAAACATGACGTGAACCGAAGGTGGTAGGTGTCTTTAGTTTGCATATACATAATATTAAATATGGTAAAGTGAATCTGTATTTAGGAGCTTTGTTACGTATTTAAAAAATAAAGTTTAACTTAATTCATCAATCACATGAAATATGTATCACAATATTGGAAGCAAGCTGGTACTTTTGATTGAAATTAATGTGGATCTGCTTCTTTATTGCTAAGTATTAATATTTTGCAATTCATATTGATTTATTAGATCCAATTCAATGCAATCAAAACGAATATTTCATGTACCGTGTTTAACTAGAATGTGATCTTAATAATATCACGTATTCTACGTTTAAGTTTGGCGGTCAAGGCGAAGGCGCTGAACGGATCCGTTTTCTGTTTTCTAGAAGGCGATCTAGTTTTTCCATACACCCACAATGTTTCTGGGTCATCTTGAACCTAATTATTATTTAGCAAACTGTAAAGAATCTGCATCGGATAATATTGGCCACCGTGCTTACTCAACAATTTTTCAAAAAGTGACAAAAAGAAACCCATAATATTGTGTTATTATTCTGACAACAGCTTTCTTTATATTAAAAGCATTTCATCCTTAGATGCTGAGTCATGAATGCTATTTTAACCCCCAAAAGCCCTTATGGTTAAAATTCTACCCATGTATTCTTTATTCATTTAGTACAACGGTTTCTGCTCTGATTGGTTTTGCAGCAAGTTTTATATACACAAAATGCTTATCAAATCAATCTTTATATTCTTAACGCAGTCAATATACTAACCTAAGTACGCTGCTCGACATCTGGGCTCGAATTGTAACATCCATTCACGGATCGAAATCCATACAAAAAAAAAATTACGTGATACCGTCAGTCGTATAAGATTTATCCCATATAAAGGTATGTTCACGTATGTCATAATCCGAAAAATATGTTTTAACGTGACGAGTAATACGATATCGTATGTGACGATTCGAGCCCAGGACACCAGGGCATGAATCACGTATGACGACAATCGTCTGAACGATATCGTGTCAAGATTGTCTTGCCTCATGGAAACGAAAAATTGTCTGATCGATTGTGTGATACCGTCAACTCGATTCCAGTTTTGCTTCACTTAACAGTAACAGTAACACATAGCAGCAACACATATGCATAAATCATTGTTTTGGTGACGTCGTTTTGTCAGTATCGTTTGAACGACAATCGTTTCAAAGTTACGTGATTCATGCCCAGAGTATACATGCAAAAGCTCTCGATTAAAAGCAAAGAGGAAAGGGGAGAACGAAAAATTACACTGAAAATGGCACAGTGCCGAAACCGGTTTGTCTCCAAACCAAACTTGAGAAGAGATGACGGAAATTCGTTTCAAAATAAATCAGGAAAGATATAGTTTACGACAATATTACATCAGCCGAAACACCAATAATGCACGCAATCATAGTATATTCTTTGCAGGGGCGCACCCAGGAATATATTTTAGGGGGGGTTTTACATTTCTGAAGATATATCATCGGAAAATACTGAAAAATTTCTTCAGATAATGCGCTCTTTAAAATGTATTTATGCAAGTTTTATGTACAGTATGTAATAAATAAATAAACGTTTTAAAATTCACAAACTGCACTTTATTTACATAAGATTAACAGAGCCCAAACACTTTTAACCGACTTCAATAAAAGGGGAGATTATCAATTCGCCGGAATACATAACTTTGGACCACGTGAACTGATTTCAATAATCTTTTTTTTTATTGGAAAGATGGTACCTCAAGTTTCGCCCCGTAATTTGGTTTAGAGATCCGATGATTAGATCATGAAGAAATTAACGGTACCCCTAAATTTGAATATAAGAATTGAAGCCGGTTGTGTTCGTTCCTTCAAAACTACTTGTTTAACAAAAAGTTCTATAAACTCAAGATGCGTTCAACTTTCAAAAGTACCTAATAAAAAATATTAAAAAAGACTCAGTAAAAATAAATTTATCGATTGCATGAATTTTTGCATTTTTATATTCCTTTCGATTTCTGGTTTCTGGCTTTCGATACAGATGGTGATTTTTCACGATTTCTAAATTTTTTTAATATTTCGAATACCGAAAAAAGTAACTGAACTCTCAAGAAAAACGAAAAATTTTATAAAACGACGGACGAGAAATGGAAAAGAAATTTTCTCTACCAAAATTTCTTAAATCAGTTTGCAGCTCTCAAGAAAAAAATGCTCGTATATTCGTTTCCTCATGAAAATTTACAGCAAAAGCAAAGCGCTTTTTCAAGCAACACAAATTATAATAAATATTTATTATAATTTCCTTGAGAGCTGGATTCTTAGCGCTTGTGTGCGCTAATGATTCTTTGTTCAAAGTATTTCTACAGTGAAAGTATATATTTTAGGTCGATTTTAAGCGGTCGTTATTCATATACCCACATATATATACTTTTCATATCAATTCAAATATATTTAGCTGATTCGCTTGAAACGTTTTTTATCGGGGGTTTTTGTAGTTGTTGATTACGAATCTGAAATCAGATTTTAAAAATTCAAAATGGTGGATCCAAATTGGATCTACCATTTACGGTGGAAGAATGAATGAAAGTGAGAATCATTTAATCATATGAACAAAACACTGCTTATGCCAACTGCTATACTTGTGTGCACATTTTTACATATTTATTAAATAAAAAAACACAATGTTAAACACAAATGCAGGTGAAAAAAATTAACTTCTATTCATCGAACAGCATTTACCGAAAGTCTAAGTGAGA